AAAGAACTTTTGATTTATATATTAGTTTGTAATTAAAATTTCATATTATTCTAAATTGTAATAAAAAGTTTCCATATTTCTCCAATTATAAAGTTTAAAAACCCCCCAGAGAAATTGTTTCATTTTTTAAATACAGCATCATATGTAGAAATAAGAGTTTCTTTTTTGGGACTCAGAGTACTTTATCCATATCTTTTTTTTTTGGGCGTATATCCCATGAGTGTGATACCGCCAAAAGGTGGGTAGTTAACGTATATCTAACTATCTGCATCTCTAAGCACTTGTCCTGTGTGGGCAGACCCATCGCGTAGGCTGAGTGCGCCGGCACAGTAACAGGGAAAATCAGACCGTCGGCCATCAATGGCAATTGCATTCCCATAGCTAAGCAAGCCATCGAGTGGCGCCTACTAATAAAAAACAAGCTTAACAGCTAAAATAATACAAGAAAAATATATAAAAAAATACCACAATTTCCCCTCCAAGTGCCTATGTATGGGTGAACTAAATTACCCGCAAACACACAAAAAATATATAAAAAACGTCGGTGGAGTGAAGAAGCGAGGAGCAATTTTAATTGAGTTAATAATCTTAATGGATTTTCAGACTTAATTATAGCCTAAGCTCTAGTCAGCTCTTTCTTTCTCTTTCTAAAGTTGCAAAAAAACTGGAGCCAAGGCTTCCAGTTGGTTTTCTCTAGGCTTTTAGACGTTTTGTAAGACAGGCCCATAAATCGTTGTTTGGCTTTTACGGCCACTTACTCTGGGCTAAAATTCATTTTTTTTATTAAACAATTATAACTATTTGTCAAGATATTTTTGGTAATAGAAGTGACTAATGTTAAATATTTTTAAATGGTAATAAAAAATTAAAAAGCATTTGAAGATATTTAAAATAAATGTTAAAAACTGTATACTAAATCCATAGCAGTTTAGAATTTTGGTTAAAATACAAATAATTATTCTTTTAACAATATACGAATGTTTTTTATCCTACCTAAATATTTTCCTTAATAGCTCTATTAATTATTATTAATTTATTTTATAATTTATTTTCTAGATTGTATAGAATAGTTTTAAACAACCATTAAAAATTTTCTTTATCCATGGATCTCTGTATAGTGAAAAGTGTTCTATTATATCTGTGTTTTATACCCTCACGTAAATATTTTCCCCTATTTCTGCGAGTTTAAACCCTTTTTACAGCAGCCACGTGCTGAGGGGTCAGGCCTTGGAATTGAACGAATAAAAACGCTTAAATTTTCAACAAGCGCTCAGTTTTATACACACTTATTTTCGGGAGGTCGCTTAGTCACACCCGCAAACACAAATTTGTTATTTTTTGTGCTTTTCATACCCTTTCAGGGCATTATAATTTGACTCAAAAACTTGCTACGAAGTGAAGGAGTCATTTCCGACCCTATAAATTATATATATTCTTGATCAGCATCAACAGCCGAATCGATCTAGCCTTGTCGGTCGAAAATAAAATTTAAAATATTTTTTTTTTTCAAATTTAAAATTTTTAAGGGGTTACTACATTGTTAAAATTGTCAAAATTTGGATTTTTTTTAAATGTTAAATCGAGGATGCAGATTTGTTAACCTAATAAAAACTAACATAGAACAGCTTTCCGAATTAAAATTAATACTTTTTTGGCTTAGCTACGAGTTTTTTAAACTTTGATTTTTCGAACAAATTTCCATATAAAATATCAATTCAAAGAATGCAAATAATTTTCGATCCTATAATTTAAGGGGTATACAAGGGTATACAAACTTCGGTATGCCGAACTAAATTTCCATTCTTGTTTAAATTACAAATTCTCTCAATTACGGACAGCGGCAGCAAAAACAATAACAACAAATATTATAAGAGCAAAAACGTATAATAATGCGGTCTGGCCCGAGACCAGATATCATTCCATCTAACACAATGATACATATGCAAATTGTATAAATTTTAATTAAACCAAAAAGGTTTCAACAAATGTCATGCGAATTGTGTGAACCGTTGCTGTTGTATTGGCGAAAGTTGCCTCCACAATACAATTTGTAGTTGAATTTGGAAACTGAAATCGTAATTATATTCAGCCTTGTTTGTTTTTCAGTTTCTAACGGAGAGCTTACGTTTTCTCAGCCAGTTTTCCTATGGGAAACTGAGTCATAACCTGGACGCGTGAACTAATTTGCGCATTTATTTATCAATTCAGTTGTTTGTCTGTCTGTTTATGGATTTTAATCATCTGATTAGAGGCTGGCGCCTTTTAATAATGTGCGAATTTAAAAATAGAACTATAGCATGATCGATGCGACACGGTTCAAAGTGCAGTTGTAGAATGCATTGGACACTATTTAATAAATTATTAGAGAATACGGGCTCTGAAAAATTGTATTATATTATATTTCATTCCAAGAGTAAAATGTGGAATCTGTAGAGTTTAATTGTTTTGACACTGGAAAGCCCATCGAATCCACCGAATAACTTAACATAATTTATGTCTGAGTCTGACGCTGGTTTCTATCATCTGCTAATTAACAGACAATTATCGTTTGTATCTGTCAATAACTCAATCTAAAATTACAACTTAATGACCACTTGACCACACACACACACACACACACTTGTGTTTTTGATAAAACTATTGTTGTTCCCGTGTTTCTTTGACGTTTGTTTTACTTTTTGATTTGTATACAAAATTAGTGTTGTTGTTGTTGTTGTCGGTGGTGACAAGCTGTCTGCTACGCTCATTTTGTTGTTGTTTCTTATTGTTGACATTTGTAAATAAACAGTAATAATAATTGGTATGCGGCACGAAAGGGAATCGAATCAAGGCAAAGAATGGAATGAATGCCGGGTCAACAGAAAGAGAGCAAAGAGAAAGGGGACAAGGAAGAGAGGAATCGCCAAAACGGATTGATAATAAAAGCGATTGCAAAAGGAGACAAGCGGCACAAATCACTTTGATATGTATATATGTATATATAATATGCAACAAAGAGCGAGGAGTGGAAAAGAAGCAGCGGAATACAATGAAGAAGTTAAGTTGCAGAGCGTAAATTATACACAAAACAAAACTCCCACAGGAAGTGCCGATAACAACAACAATGGGTCAGCCAAAGCAAATGCAAAGCAGACAGTGGGGAAGAGAGAGAGAGCGAGTAAGGGAGAGAAAGGGGAAAATTAACAACACAACAACAAAAAATCATAAAAATTGTATACACATGCAAGCGAAAAACCGTATATGACCCAATTAAATGAACCCAAAGTTATCGCTATCTCTCTCCTTCTCTTCAGCTGGTGCAGCTGTTGGCTGTTATTGTTGTTGTAATTATGAAAGCGTGTCTGTGCTTCTCCCGTTCGTATGTATGAATGTGTATGTGTGCATTGGAGCCGGAGAATTTGCAACCAAGCGAAAAGGTTGGCAACTCTTGCCGCAGTTGGCAACGCCATTTACTGTTACAAATGTTGTTGGTGTTGCTGGTCATGCAGATTGCAGACAGAAACCCAGAGAGAGAGAGACAGAGAAAAAGAGAGAGAGAGAGAAGCCGAAGAGAACCCAAGTTGAGTACATACAAGATAATGTGCATTTGACCGCAGCCAACTAAAGTTCCAATTGGAACGGATATCGAACTCCAAAAAGATGCCTAAAAAGAAACAAATTGGAAACATTCACCTCGGTTCTTGTTTCCCAACTCAATTAATTTTTTCAAACTTATTTCTCTTTGTTAGCTCATAAAATTAAATGAGATTTTAAAAAATCGAATAGGGCTGAAATGTATAAATAACACTTTCAAACTGTATTGCCTTCAAATATTAAAAAAAAAACACCCCAAAATTTTCCTTTACTTATCCCAAGTGGAGGTCAACAATTTAAAGTGGCCAAAACCAAGTTAGACAATAAAATGTAAACTACCCCCTTGTGGGCATCCCTTTAATTATTTGAAAATGGAATTTAAAGCACTGAAAACCAAGGGGGAAATTCCCCACCCCGGGAGAACGCCAGGACCTTAACACCACCGACTCCGGGCAATGGGAAAGCACTTGCGTGTCCTGTTGAGTGTAAAAATTGAGTGGCAGTCGACCCGCAACCAAGCACACGACGACCCCACCCGAATGCAGCGAACGAGCCGAGGAGGCGGAGGAGGTGGACAGGAACGAGGGCGAGGACATGACCGAGACAGATGGAGAGCAGGAGCAGGAGCAAGGCAAAAAGGAGCGCAGAAGCAGCGACGCCGACAGCGAGTGACGCGTGAGAGGGTCGAGGGAACACACCCCAGAATAAAAATGCAATATAGTGGAGCCTCAATATGAAGAAAAGCTAAATTTATGGGAAATCTAAAAAATATTAAAACGGCTTAAATCAGCAAACTCAGATATTTCGTATAAATATTTAAATTAATTAGAATTCATAGAAATGCCTCAGAATTATCCTTTTTTTTTTTAATAATTACTGTAACTGAGAACCATAAAAATAAGGAAGACTTAAAAAAAAGCGAAATCCATTTTCAAGCAAGAGAAAACTATAAAAATTTAATTAAGCCATTAAACCTATCATATCCAGATAAGCGCACATATATTACATAAAAAAAACTCCCCGGGAGAGACGAAAACATTTCACTTTCTACTCGTGGTTTAACAGCAGGATAGCACACTGTGAGGATATCGAAGAGAGGCGGAGAGAGAGGTCAGGCAGCGAGAGGAGAAAATGCACATGTCAGGAGTAGAGACAAAGGAGTAGTATACCAACAAATTTAATGATTTCTCCTTTTACCGCCAGGCCTGGCCAGGTGAGAGGCAAGGACAACAGAGCAACAAAACGGGGCAGGAAGCGTGGCAGGAAAAATTAACACACACACACACACACAAAGATAGACACACAGGACACGCACTGCCACTGGGGGTTGCAGATGACGAGTGCATAATGATGACTTTTGGCACTTTGAATGAGTCATCTCCGTTCCCGTCCCCCGAGAATTTCTTAAATTTTAATTGTCAGCTCACCTGGGGAGGAGCTCCGGCCGAGACGGGCTCAACGAGATGGGTATCCTGTTCCAAGTGACGCTCCTGAGCAGGCTCCAGCCTGCATTCCAGCTCCAAATCCTGCTCCTTAACAAGCTCTGTCTCGATTTTTTCCTCCTCTACCAGCTCCTTCGTGTCCTCGACCAGATGCTTCTCTTCGGTAGACGAGATCGGCGATGGTGTGATGTCCACTATGTCGGCCTGCTGCGATTCCAGCTCCAACTTGGCCACAGGCTCATGGGCCTCAGGACTGAACACAGGAGCACTGGTGTCCAGCAGCAGGCTTTGCTCGGCAAAGGGATCAGATGTATCAGAGGGCTGCTGTAGAGGCTCCTCCGGCTCCTGCTCGTGCTCCTTCTGCGCCTCCAAGGATGTATGTTCCAAATAGAAGGAGGCCTGCATGGGATCCTCGCCAGCGCCGCCAAAAAAGTGAGGTTGGTGACGGACCTGTTGGAACTCTTGCTGGAACTGCAGCTCCTCGGTGGAGGGTGACTGTGATACATGTTCCTTCTCCTCCACGTGCAGCAGCTCCTTCTCGTCGCCAATCTGCTCGGGCAGCGGCTGAACAGAGTTTAGGATATCCTCAATGGAGGCGTTGTGCTCGGCGTAAATCGATTGCTTCATGACATCCTCGTCAGCAGGCAGCTGGTCCAGAGACAGGTCCAAGTCCACACTGGTCTCCGGTCCGTGGTCGAGTGTATCTACTGGCTCCCCATTGCCGGCTCCGTTGAGCAGCTGCTGCTCGAGATCGCGGGCCCCAAAGATGTCCGATTCCTGCTCTAGTTCGTGGGGCCGCTTGTCCGCCTCGATGTCAAACTCTACTTCATCTGGCACCGAAATAAGGTCCATATTTTCGCGGGCTGACCCCTTACGCGGACTCTCGGCAACCAAATCGTCCATCGGAGCCAGTAGCTGGCGGGAATTCAGACCCAGCATGGGCTCCACGCCGGCATTGTTGGGCAGTGGCGACGATGGCTGCGAACCAAAGCTTGGCACAAAGGCTACTGCATTGGGATTCAGCTGCGAGTGACTTTCCTCGTGACTCTCAGCGGGTTCAGCGTTTTCCTTGTTGTCGAAAGCTTCTAGGAGCAGTTCCTGGGCTCCAGCGGCTGGCTGCGGCGCCAGCTCCTGCTCTGGCTCCTCCTGGTTGTTCTCGCTAAGGCTGCTGGTGCCATAGGTAGTGGCCACCGAGCTGGGCTCATCTTCGTCCTCCTGCTGCAATTGTTGCTGCTGCTCTGGCTCAAGCTCAATCTGCTGTTGCTGCTTCTGCTGCTCCTCCTCCTCCTCCTGCTGCTGTAGCACTTCGCCCGTGGATGTGGTGGTGTTGGAGTTGGTGGAGAGATCGCCGTCTTGCTTGATCACCTCGACGTCCTCCTCTTCATAGACCAGACTGAGACCAGCGGCGGCGGCAGCGGCAGCCAGGCCGTTGCCCAAACCATTGCCGTGGATGAGGTCATCCTGGCCAAAGCCATTGCCAGTGTCCGAAGGATGTTGCTCCTGCTGCTGTAGCTTCTCGGTCTGCTGCACCTCGTGTATGTACTTCCACTCCTCGTCTTCGTCGCCATCGCCGTCCCGCTCAGACTTTGGAGCCGCGGAGAGGTCGCCGCCGGCGGGATCCGCCAGATTATGCAGCAAATGGTTCTCGCCGGCGCCTCCGGATATCTGCAGGCTCTCTGCGAGGCGGTTCTGCAAGTAGTTATCCTCGTGCTGCTCCATGCTCCTGCTGCCTTGCTGGACTCGGATTAGCTGTTCTTTTCTGGAGATGATTCACACGCCACTGCGTTATTTCGCTTCCTCGTTTCTCTTTTTTTTTTTTGGCGTTGCTTTTCTTGCAGATTCTCGCTTGCTTACACACACACGCACACGACAGGCACGCCGCCACACACACGGAGACTGTGGACTCGACTCGTTCACACACACACTGGCACAGGCACAGGGGCAGAGAGCGGCGAAAATGAGACGCAGAGCATTCGCCGAGAGTCACAAATTCCTTTTCGCTTGCTTGTTCTTCCTTGCACACTTTTTTTCTTGTTTAATTCGATCTCGCAATGCACACACTCACAGCTTGCCGCGTTTGTTAGTTTGCCTGTTTTTCCCAGTTTTTCTCTCGCTCTCCACTAGCAATAGACTTTGCCGGTTTCGGTTTTTGAATCGTTTTGCCGACTGATTTCAGCGCTTCAATTGATAACACTATTCTCTGTTTTCGTTCATTAGCCTATGTTTGACGGAAATTGAGCGGATTTTCGCCTCAGCGGCGACTGGTCACACTTACACGGAGAAAACGTATGGGTAACTCCATTACTGTTAATACACTGTTTACAATGGATGAACAAGAGCTTAATTGGACAAAATGACTTTTTCAGATTAATAAGAGCATAGTTTTTGGTTGCTATACCAAAAATATAGCAGTTAAAAAATTTAAGATTTTGAAAACCAAATATTATGATAAGCCGAAAATATGTTGTAGAAATAGTATGTGATAATTAAAATATCGATAAGAATGATGAAGGAAAGCGGAATGCAAACTGATGGAAATATAAATTGTAATTATAATTTGTTATTTTAAAATATTATTTTTATTATTATTTAATTTTCTGTAGCCAGGAATGGCTTTTGCAGTGCTGCTTTTCTTAAGAAAAGAATGCGCTACATTAAGTAACAAATTAATTTATTTTGTGTTTGGTTAAAAACTATTGCCCGTCCCGAGCTGTTTTTTAAGTATTCGCGCAGTTGTAAATTTCAGTGAAGTGAAGTGAAGCAAATTCAAATGACGGTTGGCGGGAAGTGGGACGATAACGATTGGTTCCGGCCGATTATTTTTACCGATTACTGATCCAACTTGGTCTGCTGAGCGCAACTATAAATTATTCAGTGAGTAAAAAGACAATAATTACAATTCTAGTAACAATTTTATTTTGATTTTAAATGTATTTTAAATTTTAATTTGTCTTTGGCTTTTGCTCCCATCGCGATCCATCATAAAACTGCGCGCTGGTGGGTTATGGTGGTATCGGCGACATCCTCGCTGCACTGGTCCTTGTCGCCCCAACCCCACACGGGGTGGGAGCCATCTCCCGTCCGTTGAACCCTCCGTCGGACCAAGTCCGGAGACACACTCTTCAGATCGTAGGCCCAGCCCAGCCAGGCAAAGAAATTGATAAACGCCGTCGTGACGTCCCGGGAGTACGGGCCCAGCTCGGCACTCTTATAATCCCAGGGAAAGACGTGGTGATAGTTGTGATAGCCTTCTCCAAAGCGCAGCCAAATGAGGAAACTCTCGTCGGTGGGGCTGATCTTCTTGTCATATGGACGTTTGCCGTACATATGCGCTGAGCTGTTCACCAGCCAGATAAGGTTCAGGACGGTTACCCAGCGAAGCAGGGCCATCACTTGGAAGGAGACGTTAAACGATTCACCCCACAGATACATCGGAAGCACAGTCGGCATAACAAAACAGATGAGTGGCATCAGGAGCATGTAGTATTTCTTCTGGAACATCACCAGTCGATCCTGCTCCAGGTCAGAGAGGTCGATTTGCTTGCCTTTTTCCACCACCTGGGGATGCTTGCGGACGCACAGCCAGCCAATATGCGAAAAGAACCAGCCTCGCTCCGAGTTGTACGGATCGGCATCCGTTTCCGAGTACTTGTGATGCACTCGATGGTCCCGCGCCCAGATATATACCGCATCCTGGAAGGCCAGCGTGTTGAGGAACAGGAAGATCAGGCGGAGGGGCACGTTAGCCTTGAAGGTTCGATGTGCCCACAGACGATGGGCGCCGCCGGAAATGCCCAGGGCGGTGAAAATCATGGCGAACGGAAAGACCAGAATCGTCGTCAACATAGCCTTCGTCATCAGCAGCCAAATGCCGTACAACGCGGATAAATGAAGTATCACAAAGAGCACAATGTTGAGCCAAACTAGCTGCAGCTTCCGCCCGTCTGTGGTCTTCAGTTGACCGATATCCTTGATAAGGCCACCATCGACTGTCTCCGCATCCGACTCGTAGAGCACTCCGGTGGTATCTTTGCTATTCGGTGGCATTCTGTTCTACGTTTGAGTCTGGGATTGCCCCGGCGTTTTACTTATACCAAATTCCAATAGCCGGAACCGAGATGTGATGTACACTCAGCGCTTAGGTTCACGATCTATTGTAATTTGAATCCCTAAAACAACGCACAAATTTACATAATAATTTGTTGGTTGGAACATATAGAACTGCACTCATAAAAAAAGTAGACCTAAGACAAGGATAAAATTTTTAGTATTAAGAAGGCACCATAAAATCAAGACCACCCACCATAAATACAATTTTAAATCAAGAAAATGTTCCCTTAAATGTAAAATACAATTAGTTTATTTTTAACAATCAAATAATCTTTTAAATATTCACAAAAATTTCGTTTAATTTAAGATATGTTTTTATAAAAAATATTACCCTAGATTTGAGAAATTTTTGTGTAGGGCAAATTTTGAGGTGCGATTTTTTAAATATACGCGAGAATTGCAAAGTTTTTAGTTTGATTTTAGGTAAACACTTTTATGAGTGTGGACTACCTCAACGCTAAAACAGGGTAATTTTATTCAAAAACAAATTTAGAAAAGTAATTAAAGTCAATCAAATCGAAAGGAAATTCATGCGCATATTTTAGGAATTCTTTAATTCGACCTGGGGTAACATGAAATTCATTGTAATTCCTTTAAGCCTTGAATACCTGAACATTAGTATATATAATATGTACTTTAATCATTGTACTTTATAAATTTATTACATAACACTGAATATTAATATAATTCTTCTAGAATTATGTATATGTCATATTATTTACATATTTTATTATCTGAAAATTTATTCAGAAGGAATTTATAATATTTTCTCAGTGCACAGATGCCAATTTGATTATTATTGGGTGTATCCGTGTATATGTATGTACCTTCTCGATAAGTATAGATTGCCCCCTATTTATGCGTCGCACGCGAATAAAAAAAGACGTGAGTTGAATTGATAATATTGTCTCAATAGCAAACCAAAAATTCTGGATTATATAAAAAGTTATAAAAGCCGTTCGTTTTTTTATTTTCTTTCAGTTTGTGAATGGAAATGCTCGATGTTAATAATTGTAATATTGGCTTGCACTTTATCCTCAAATAAAAATGCATTGGCTGTCTAAGCCCAGACATTCTGGCCATACTTATAAGCCTCATTTTATGGCGTTGAATTTAATTTAAGTAAAGCTAATGTTATTTACTTCTAATTCAGTTGCTATACGACATGCTCTGGACATCTTTTTTAACGCCTAATCAATTCTTAGATCGGTGTCCACTTAATTCATATTAATCGTAATGCTTATATTTATTATTATAATTATAACATTATAACCTTCATCCGGCAAGGCCGCACTACCTGAAATACTAATCAACTAATAAATTATCCTACTGTAGAATAGAAGATCTCATTTTAATTATTGGAAAGCAATTATCCGAAAATTACTTTAATTATTAAACTCTATGATACATACGAAATCAAATTAAAATATATGCTATAATGATACCGGAGTTTTTTTTATTTACCCCATAGTTTATAGATGGTTTTATAATATTAAAATAAATTATTTCAAAATTCAATTCGCTAAAAACATTGCTATCGATGTAAGAAAACAATATCGAACTATCGCTTTTCCTAAATAACCGAAACTATCGAATGTTTGCCAGCTCTAGGTCTCAAAATATAAACAAATGTGAACATATTTCGAAACTGGCGTAATAAAGTTTAAATAAATTATGGACAATAACGTAGGCCGCTTAACCGAGGAATCTATAAAACGCAAGGAGCGCCTTCAAAAACTGCGTGAGCAAGCACAAAATAAAGGGGGAGATGCCGCAGAGTCCACTGAGAACTTGCCGAAGTAATGTTGTTAAAATGGAACATACAGGCACTAATTAAATTCATGTTCCGGTTTGCAGACCTATTTTCCGCAGCTACAAGCCACAAAACGAGAACACCACCGGCGAAATTCTGGCCCAGGAGCCGACGGGTAGCATCGAAACCGCCGTGGAGGACCAGCTGAGTCTACTGCAGCAGCCAATGGTGATCGACGAGATTGATATAACCAATCTGGCGCCGCGAAAGCCGGACTGGGACCTTAAGCGCGATGCCAGCAAAAAGCTGGAGCGATTGGAGCGACGCACTCAGAAAGCAATTGCTGAACTAATACGTGAGCGTCTGAAACTGAACCAAATTGAGGACATTAGCCAGGCGGTGAACGTGGCCACTGCCCATGCGGGAGAAAGTGTCCAGGAGGATTATGACTAGAGCCGAACATCTACATTTACTGAACACGTACAATATAAAATAATAAAAATAACGAGAAACGAGTGCTCCTAGCACTATGCTTAACTAGCGTCGATTCTCCTTGCCAGTGGGAATGGAAAGTCGCTCCTTTAAGGTGAGGATCTCTGTAAGAAGATACGAATTGGTATTTTGCCAATTAATTATTAATTAATTAAAGTTAATCCGGCATAAAGAAAAATTTCTTACGTTTGGAGTACTTTTGCTCTAATCCTTGTGCAAAATTACGCATTGACTGCAATTGCTCGGGAATCTCCTCTCTTAGCTTTTCAATTGTTATTCGTGCCTGACGGAGCTCATCCTCACGCATGGCTAAAAGCTGCTCCTTTTCGTGGACGGCCTTTTCCTGCTGAAGGGCCACCTCAGTGCGCCAGGCGATAGTTTTCTTGTGGTTTAACAGCTCCTGGCTCTGCTTGAGGATTATTTGATTGGCCTTTGATATTTCCTCGGAGGCCATTTCCAAAGCCTGACGCTTGGTGTGCAGGATTTTCTTCTCGGCCTCCAGCTCGGCCGAAATGTTGGCCTTTTGAAAACACGGTTATATTATTCGTTTAATTATGTTAATGTATTTTCTTTATACCTTCTCCTTGTTGCCTTTCTGAATGTGTTCCTGCAGCTCAGCTGTGTGCTGCTTGAGGTCCTCGATCTTGTACTCCAGCTTGCGTTCCTGCTTTCTGGCATTGGCTATGTCTGCATGAAGTTTGTCGTTTTGCTCCTTTAGGGAAACCACACGCGATTTGCAGCAGGCTAGTTCTTCAACCAGTGTTTGACATCGCTTATCGCTTTGCTCTTGGCTTGTTTTCAGGTCAGCTTTATCCAGCGAAGCCTTATCTAGCTGGGCCTGGAGTCCAGCGATCGTTCTGCGATGCCGTTCCAGTTCGCTGCTTCGCTGGTCGTTGACTTTGGACAGGTTCTCCTGGACTTGTTGCATCTCCAGAGCATGCTTTTCCTCAAGCACCCTGGTATTTTCCACCAAGGCTTCTCTGAGATTGGTGTTTTCCGTTCCCAGACGCAACATGTGCGTACGCTGAGAGTTGAGCTCTGTTTGGATCTGCTGAATACTCTGCTCCAGCATATACTGCTTGGTGTGGGAGGCATCCAGCATGAGATTGATGTAGAAGAGCACGGTGTTTAAAGGGGCAGAGCGGCAGGGCAGACAGAGATGTACCAAGTTTTTGAAGGACCGAATTTCTACGAATTGCAGGTGGTAGTCGTGGCTTTGGCTTGATGCGAGGCTCTTGTCCCTGGCGGACAGATGCAGTTCCAGTTTTCCAGCCTGGCAGTCCTTAAGCATCCGCACCACATTCTCCATAAAGCCAGAAAAGGTCACGTTCAACGACTGATCCTGCTTCAATTCATGAAAGGAGGCGCTGTCCACGGTGGTAATGTACATGCGACGCTGGTCGGCTTTCTCAGCCAAACGCAGTTGCTGTGGATCAAGGAAAGATGAGAGCTGTTATATCCTGAAGGATTTGCGTTGCCTCGACTTACGATCAACTCCTTAAAGTCCATCCGCTCTGCGTACAGTAGGCACGCCCGCCTATTGGACCGCGTCATGTCACCGTTGAAGCTCACCATCATTTCTACGCTCGGAAGGATGTTTACCACGTTCTTGCTAAACTCCATGTTGTCAAAGTAACTTTCCTCATTCCCAGGTTGCCACATTTGTCCATAAGCTGCTGGTAATAATGTATTTTAAATATTTAAATTTGTAAACAAATGCGAGGTCTAGCTGAAAGTAATCGATACATCGATGCTTTCCCATGAATCGATATTTCTCACGAAACATGATGTTATTGTTTTAACTGTACAAATATATATAAAATATATGTATATTTAAAATATGACTATTTACACAAATGTTCCAAATTTTTAAAATGTTTTGCATTCATTGTATTTATTTAGTGTTGATCGCATACATCGATATTTAGCATGTCTCATCGATAGCGATTGCAGCTAGCGATGGGAGAGGTGATAAAAGAAAAAACCGAAAATATATAGAGAATTTTTTAAAAATTCATGTCTACTGTACGTAAGAGTTAAAGAGATTTCCGTAGGCGGATGGGGCAGAACCCGTGTAATGCAAGCTTTATCCATGTAGCCCGCCAAGGTGTTCGTTGGCAGCCTGCCGCGCTGCAAGCCGGAGGAGTTGCGTCGCCTCTTCGCCAACTACGGCTCGGTCGTAGAGTGTGACGTGATGAATCGGTGCGCCTTCGTTCACCTGGAGACCACGGACATGGCGGAGGCGGCCATAGCAGCCCTCAATGGTATCGTTTTCAAGGGCCAGGCCATCGTCGTGGAGGCGGGAAGGCCGAAGTACGGCCCTGGGAACGGCAGTCGCGGTCCGCCGGCCAGTGGTGACAGCCAGGGACGCAGGCCTTCCGAAGGTAATATATTTCCCATCCGAGATGTACTTACATTTAAAGGTTAATGTGCGCCCATTTAGGACAAAGTAGTAGCCCTAATAAGAGATCCACAGAGGCGTCCGGTAACAGCTTTAAGCGGAACTTCCGAGATGAAACCGGCGGCGGTCGCCGGTTCTCTAAAGATGGGCGCGACGCACGGGGACCCAACATGAACAAATTTGGACCTGTGCGGAACGAACCCAACTACAGGCAACAGCGGAGTGCTCCCTACAATAAGGGACGGCCGCAAAGCAACGAGACCGGCTCTCAAGCGACCGGATTCAGGAACAAATTTGCGGGCGGAGGCAATGCCGGAAATTTTGGGGGAGGAGGAGGAGCCAACGAAGGCAATCGCTTCGGGAGCAGTCGGTGGGACAATAACGGTGGTCCTCAAGCTGGAAAAAGAAACTTCAGGAACAGTCCGACAAGCGCATTTGGAGGAGGCGGCAACAGCACTAGCAGAAATGACTTCAGGGCTGGCAGCTCCGGCAGCGGTGGTGGTGGATCGCTTAATCAAAGAGGCGGCGCAGGCAGCAATGTGCGTCAGGATCGCCGTGGCTTTGCCCTGCCAGTGGAGCATCAGCATCAGCAAATGAGCTTTGGACGCTTCGGAAACGGACCCATGAATTCGCACAGTCGCAGGGACGCCGGCGCTAGTGGGTATGTTAACAATTAGCCTCTACCTGATTTTTTGAGTTAATTTGAGTTTCTTCTTTCCTATTCAGAAGTAACCCACAGGGCGGACGAGGTTTCTACAATGGAGGCGGGGGTTTCAATGCCAGACGTGGCAGCAGTGGAGCAGCCAGCAACGAACACAATAGCCAACAAGGTGGCGGTGGTCCCAACAAGCGGGGTGGAGGGGGAGGAGGATTAGGAAAGGTTCACAATCAGAATGGCTTCAATGCATATCACACGGAATTTCCGCCTTTGGGAAGTCAAAGGAACCGGTGGGTAAAGACATATGTGCTTTAAAAGACGATCTGTACTGCATAAGCAATGTTTTCCCTTTTTCAGATATAATGGACCCCGGCCTGGAGCAAATATGGGCGGCAATAGAAGGTTTTAGGCAAGTGCAACTCCACTCCGATGTTTGGCCAGTCCACGCGAACTCCAAACTCCCAACTCCAATTAATAATGTAATAGCCGAATTTTGTTTTCCATACTTTCGCGCTCCGAATCGTTTAGTTAAGCTGACGGGATTTAATATATTTTTTTTTATTTTAATCTGTCCTATAGCCGTACTTTTAAGACCAACATCAACAGTATATTTGTTATTCGTAGTTAAGATTGTTTCAATATTTAAATGCAATACTTAAATAATCATATTAATTGTGTAAAACTAGATACGAGTCAATCAATACAATCGTAAATACCAGTCGCTCTTGCTTTCATTTCAATTTCAAATTTCAACAGTCGACCGCTTGTTATCGCATCAATCGTTAATCGAGCAACTAACAGTGTTGCCAACTTATCTTTTTTAGAGCGTTTGTTAGATAACTTTTCGTTGTGGTTGCAAGTGTATCTTAAATATTTACGTTTTTAGACGATTCAAGTATTTAAATATGACGATTTTAAGACGCTGATTTAAATATTCCAATGTTTGAACACCTTATACAAGTATAGCTCTTTTCTAGCTCGATTTGGCTAGTTTTGGTAGCTGCAGTTGGCAGCACTGCTTCTTTGTGGTTATCAAATTTGTCAACGATTTTATAAACAAGGAAGCACGTCGTTTGTTTAAACTTCAATTTGGCCAGGGGTACACATATATATATGAAAAGCACGCACGACCAGGTCGCCAGTTGAGGTAAGACCCTTTGCCCATAGCATTGGAAGTTGGATTGATTCCCAATTTCGACCGTATGCTAACATATGCTTTCCTACAGTCGATTTGGTTGGTGGACAAGTGTGGCTGTGAAAATGTGGAAACGGCACTGCTGCCTGCTCTCAGTAGCCGTGCTATGCATGCTCTTTTTTGGCCTGGGGAATGCCCTCCACCAAGCGTATGCTAATGTCGAAGGTCGCCCAGACCTGTTGGCCAAACTGCCAGGGCAGCTGAAGTTCGTGCATGTGGTAAGAGCTGCTGTGTGGGTTGGGTGTGCGTATGTGTGCGTATGGAGCTCGCTATCTAAAATGTTGTCTTCAAAATAGATATATCGCCACGGCGACAGAACGCCAGTCGACCCATATCCCACGGATCCCTGGAATAACCTGAAGTTCTGGACCACCGGATGGGGTCAACTAACGAACGTGAGTATTACCCGAAACATAAGTTGCAGTGGTTTTCCCTTTTTCGATTTTTACTTATTTCTTTTGGAAAAACCCGTTAACCACATAAAAAGCTTTTACGATATATTGAGTAAATACATAATTTCCTTGACTAAATTTCGACTACGCACACAGCTGGGCAAACAAGAGCACTATGACCTTGGTAAATGGCTGCGGAAACGGTACTCCTCGCTGCTCAGTTCAAAGTACTCCAACGAAGACATTTATGTCCAATCTACCGATGTGGATCGTACTTTAATGAGCGCCCAATCGAATTTGGCTGGGCTGTACGAGCCCCAAGGTGAAGACGTTTGGAATCCCGCCATTCAATGGCAACCCATACCGGTTCACACCACGCCTGAGAAAGACGATCCCATACTGGCGGCCAAGGCTCCGTGTCCTGCCTATGATTACGAGCTGGCCTCTCTTGAATCCTCGCCTGAGTTTGTGGCTCTCGCTGAAAAATACAGTGATCTCTTTGCGTACCTAAGCGAGAAAAGCGGTCGTAGTGTAAAGACGTTTCTCGATGCATCGTATTTAAATAACACACTGTTTATTGAGAGCCTGTACAACATGTCACTGCCGGAATGGACTCAAAAAGTATATGATCACGAGGAGCTTACATATGCGGCAAACTTTGCATTTGCCATCAACACGTATACCCGCAATCTGGCTAGGCTGAAGACTGGTCCTTTGCTGAAGGATATTTTTCAACGGATCGATGATAAAGCCTCTGGACGCTTGAAGCCTGATCGTTCCATGTGGATGTACAGTGCGCATGATACAACAATAGCCAATGTTCTCAACACCTTGAAAGTGTTTGAAGTAAGCTTAACTGTTAACCATTTTATGAGTCGTTCATTCACCTAGTTTCTTTGTTCTTTTTAGCTCCATAGTCCCCCTACGTTGCGTGCATTATGGTGGAGCTACGGATTGATGACTATAACACTCCATTGGTTTCTATTTTTTATAAGAACACCACATCTGAACCTCTGCCGTTAGACATTCCCGGCTGCGGACCGTCATGTCCGCTAAAGAAATTGACTGCACTGTATCAGGACGTGCTTCCCATTGACTGGGAGCATGAGTGCAAACGCTCCACGATGATGATGACCTACGAGGAGGCGAATCTGGGAGCAGCGACGGGTGAGTCAATACTTATGCGACCCTATCACTAGGAATTATCAATATACCCCATCCTAATTTCTCAGGCATTCTTATATTGATTATTATCGCTCTTCTGGTGACCAGCTATGGTCTCATGATCTATTATCGGCGTCGCAACTACAAGCTGTATACCTCGTACTCGCAAATGGCATAGCCAGACATCCGTGGGATGTGACGTTGAAGGTCCTAATGAACTCGGAAATTAGAGCGTTGTTAGTTACCTGTTCCTCTCTGCTTGCCAAAGTGATTTGTTTTCTTTTCTCTGTGCATCCTATCTTATGGCCACAAGTTATTTTTTATATTTTTTATTAGTTTGATAGTTGTAACATTGTGCATTTGATACACACATGTTTTTGTTGGCATTTAAATGGAAGGATAACTGTTTTGTTGTTATCCAGTGAAATATATGGAATAGAAAGACTGTGAATTGGCGATCTTGAAGTTGCATACATATATATATATATATATACATACATACATAACATATTTATACACATGCATATATACATTTTTTATGAAACCTTGTATGAGAAATTTACTGTATTAAAAATGCTCAAATCATGAATATTCCTCTTGTTATTTAAATTTAGAAAAATGTGTCGTTTGGTTTGTAAGTTTTCAATTTAAACTATTCAGAAATCAGCTGTGCGAATGTAAACATTTGCGGAACTTCTCTATTTGTTAAAAGTAAAATGTTTCCCATTATGAACATACATAAATATTGACCCTCAAAGTTTCAAGCTATAATCGATCGTGGCTTCTATTCGTTGATATTTTGTTTTGTAATAGATGGGTTTTACCCCCACCAAGGAAAATTCGTCATATATTATACTAGATTTGTTTATTACGCATAAGCGATTTGCTTGCACTTAATTATGGTTAAGACAATAGATACAGTTAGGGTTACAGTTAGATGGTTTTAAGACTATATACAACTGTGGCTGAGAGTGGCGATAATGTAGAACCTGTTTTAGCGGCGATGCGCCTGACTGACTGACTGAGTTTGGAAGTGAACAGATGTGTTGGTGTGTGAATGAAAGAAGGCTTCTGCCTATCTGTAGGCCTTGTCATCCGAGTATATGATGTAGGGCTGATGCTGATGCGGATGCTGGTGCGTCAGGCTTTCGGCTCCATCGGCGTTTCCGCCGGCGCCGCTAAAGTACGACATGCGGGACATGGTCGAGTAGGCCGCCGCTGCCGCTGCCACCTGTTGCTGCTGCTGTTGTTGCTGTTGCTGACGCTGGGAGAGATTCTGGCTAGACTGGTGGATCGAGGCCGCCTTGTGCGGCAGGGTGGCATAGCTGGCCTGATACGGAGGGACTGCATACAGCGCCGCTCCTGCTCCAGCGGCATTCTTGTAGTTGTAGGCGGCATTATGGGCACCCATTTGCATGCCAGCCGGAATGCCGATCATTGCTGCATTCTGTTGATACTCCGCGTTACTCATGCGCAGCCGGATAATGCATATAATGATGATCAGTATGGCTATGAAGGCCACCACTCCGCCCACAATGCCAATGATCAAAGTATCGTCGTTGCTCATAATCGGAGCCTGGGCCTTCATCAGTGGCGCCTTGGTCTTGATCTTCTTAAGACTGGGCGGTTGCGTCGGTTCCAGACTCCAAATGATAAGAGGCTCCTCAGTGGTGGAGCTGCGGGTAACTAGTTGACTGGAGGTCTTCAGCAGATGGGGCACTGTCGCAGTGGGTCTCGACGTGGAGGAGGTCATTCGTCGGGCGTCACAGGTGAGCTCATCATCGCCCACCTCAATGAGCTTCCTGTTGGCCAGGTAACTTGGCGCCTGGCAGGTGACATCCGGCATCCCTGAGCTGGGCAACCAGCGGCGTAGAGCCCGAGCATTGCAGTCGCACACAATCGGATTGCTGGCCAGACCCTTCAACTGCAAACTGGCCCTTCGATCCTCTAAGGCGTTCAGGAACTGCGGCACCAGCACCGTAATCTGGGATCCCTCCACATCCAAGTTGAGGTGGGATGATCGTGGCACCGGGAACAGAAGTGCCGGAGGCAGTGCACTGAGCGAGGTGTTCCGCAGCTGCACACTCAGGTCGCTGCTCTTCAGACCCGCCAAAGTACCCGAGGAAATGGACTTCAATCTCTCGCCTCGGATACCTAGGCTTTTGAGACGGGGATGCTTTAGGGGCTGTATCTGCTCGCTGCCAATGCTGGAGTCCTTCACCTCGATGTCGAGTTCTTCCAGACCCGGCAGTAGTTCCAGGATGCCCTGAAGGTCCAGGTAACCAAGCAGCGGAAGATCATAGGCCTCCAGGCTTAGCAGATTTGGGAGTTGCTTGAAGGCGTTCTTCTCGATCCTGGTGCAATGCGGTAAGTGGCTAAGCCTCAGGGATCGCAGCATCTCCAGCTGTCCAAAGTTGGATTGCGAGACGATCTCGAAGCTATTGTTGGACACGTCCAGAGATTGCAGCACCTGCAGCTGGGGCCACGCCACAGATAGATCGTCCAAGGACTCGAGTTGGTTGCTGGAAAGATCCAACGTCTCCAGGAGAGTGACCCGCTGGAAGACCTCCGGCTTAACATTGCGCAGCTTATTATGGGACAAATTGAGGAACTGCAGGAAGGGTGTCTCCAGGAGCTCCAACTGCTCAATGCCAGTGCCAGCCAAACTAAGTTCCCTCACTGTCTTGGGCTCGTTGAGAACGTTGTGCACAGCTCTGGGCGAGAGCGGATTGAAGGACAGATCGATTCTCTTAATGTTCACCATGATACTATCATCGCCTGGCAGCTCCTTGATGCGATTATGACTCAGGTCCACAGATGACACAAAGAAGAATTGCCTTTGCAGGGCGTTCAGGGGAGCGTACTCGAACCGATTGTGAGCCAGGTTGATGTTCTCCAGCATCTGGAGCTTGGTGCGTTCGAAGACGCCGTCCGAGAGCTCCGATAACCGGTTGCCCTCCAAGTTCAGCTGCTCCAGCCTTACCAAGCCCTCGAATGTGCGCTCCCCCACTCTGTCCAAGTTGTTGTAGGCCAAGTCCAACACCTGCAGCTGGGTGGAGTTGTGGAAGGCCATCTCGCTGACCATATCCAGTTGGTTGTGCGAGGCCAGAAGGACTCGTAGTCGCGGCAGACGGGCAAAGTCCAGCTCCTCGATGGTCTTCAGCTGATTGTGGGATAAATCAATGTGCTCCAGATACTGCAGCGAGGCGATGAGTTCCGCTGGGAAGAAGGAGAACTTATTGTTGGACGCCTTTATCTCTTTCAGCCTGGGATGGATGCGGAAGGATGAGGGGAACAGGTAGCTCAATTGGTTATCCGAAATGTCCAGCTCCTCTATCCCAGTGCCGGTGTTGAAATACTCCCCCTTAAAGGCGGACAGCTGGTTTCCCCGGAGTATCAGCCTCTGCAGCTTCATCACATTCACAAAGGCTCCCGAACGGATGGATCCGATGCGGTTGTTGGACAGGTCGATGGAGCTAATGTTCCACAGGTTGACAAAGCTGCCGTCCTGCAGCTCCTGCAGCTGGTTGTCGTTGAGATGAATGTGCTTCAGGTCCTGCAATCCGGCCAAGAGGTCTCCGCTCAGCTGGCGGATATTGCAGCGACTCAAATCGATGACTTGCAAGCGGGCCAGGGGCTTGAAGAGGACTCCGGTCAATGGAGTCAAATGATTCCCACTCAGATTCAGAGATTGAAGGTTCTCCAGTTCCTCAAATATGTTACTGGGCAACTCGGTCAAGGTATTGCCACTCAGATCCAGACTCCTCAGCTCTGGTAATACCCACGGTGCGATTCCCAAGCCGGTCAATCTATTCTGCGACAGCTTCAGGGCCATCAGAGTGCTTTCCAATCCCGCAAAAGTATCTGCATTGATCAGGGCCAGGGAGTTTCCAGCAAGGTCCAATGTGTGCAGACTGCTGAACATCTGGAAGCTACCGGGTGGCAGTTCTCGAATGACATTCCTGGACAAAGAAAGGGTGGTTATGTCCCCTGCCTGCAGGGAGCCCAGGATTTCCGCTGAGAGAGCTGCCACTCGATTGAAGTCCAAGTGGAGGGATGTCAGCTGGGGCAGCCGACCCAAGGCACTGCCGGGCACTAGCAGGATATTGTTATCCTTAATAATAAGCGTCTGCAGGCTCTCCAGACCCTCCAAAGCATCGTCCTCGATCTGCATGGTGGCAATATTCATATTTATATTCATAATTATCGAGGACTTTATATTTCCAAGCACTTACCGTTCGTAGCGAGTTCAAGCTGAGGTCCAAATACTTCAGGGCACTCATCTCCCGGAAGGTTCCTGGCGTTATGGTAGTTATGGAATTGCGACTAATGTCTAGGCTTTCCAAATATCTAATCCCCTGCACATGGGTGTAGTCCAATTGCTATGGAACACAATGGTTATAAATAATATAAGCAAACTTATATTATTCCAACCACATACCTGTAACATATTGGAGGACAGATTCAGGTGCTTTAAGCCAGGAACTGCTGCTAGAGCCACCATTGGAAACTGATTGAAGAAATTCTCGGACAAATCCAGCTTCTGCAGTGAGTTCAGCTTCTCGAAGACATCACTGTTCAGGTTACTGATGCGATTGCCGGCCAGCTTGATCTCCCGGATCTTTTGCAGTCCCTTAAAGGCCTGACTGTCGATGCTTCGCAGGACATTGTGCCTCAGATCGATGATCTCCAGTTGCCGCTGGGCATTGAACGAGGCGGGAAGAAGAGCTCCTATTTAAATTGGTAAGGTATTTAATTCATTAATAATTATTACAGGAAATAGACTTATTAAAAATAAGAAAACGATTTTCTTACCAATTTGGTTCTGTCGCAGCGACAGGTGTCGCAGGGCACTTGGTCCATTTAGCGAATTGGTTGGCACTGCCGTCAAGCTGTTGCGATCGATGTAGAACTCCTTAAGGTCCATGCAACCCTTGAGTAGGCCCTCCTCGATCAACTTGATCTTATTCCCGGACAAATCCAGGGTGCGCAGGTTCTTCAATACGTGCAGTTCGGCGGTGGAAAAGATTGGATTCAGATTGTCGCCTAGCAAATTATTTGCCAGCCGCAATTCGTTTAGAGAATCCTTCAGGCCATCGAAGGCCTTCTCCGGAATCCTTCGGATCAAATTGTTGGACAAATCCAGCTCTTCGATGGTCAACTTTAGTTGGCCAAAGGTCTGTGATTGAAGATATTTATATTATATTTGTTTGGTTTTTAACCATTTTCTTCCAATATTCAAGGACAGACCTGTGCTGGCAGCACCTGTTGACCACTGTGACGTTGCGTATACGCCACGATGGGCGCTCCATACGGCAGCTGCGGGGCATCGCCATGGAAGACGACGCGATCACAGTCCATGGCCACGGCGCCCAATTGGCCAGTCGCCGCAAACGGAACCACATTGCATCTGTAATTGTCGCCAGTCGGTGATTAGCAGCAAACAAATGCATATGAATAGTTGCTTTTCAGTTGTCAGCAATTTACCGATATTAATATAATGGCCACCTGCAGCGGAAATCGCTGTCTTGTAGCCACCATTCACAAAAAAAGGAGCAAAGATCATGACCATACAAACTTAAAAATTTTATATATATATATAGATATATGAAACATTTCATTAAGTTTACTATATATAAGTCGGAACTATCCGGACCAAAACTATATGATATAGCATCGGAACATTTTTAGGAAACAAATTATAACATTACTAGTTTTATAAATAATTCCATTTATACAAATATAAAACCAATTTGTATTCTTATATATTTTCGGTATTAATTAAATAAAAATCGGACGACTATTTCATATGGCTGCAATAGGTATGATCGGTTAATGTATGTCCAACACTCTCTGTTTATCTCTAGAGGTTACTTACTTACTCTCTAACTCTCTCTGGCTAGCTCTAGAGGTAACTCTTTCTCTATGCTTATCGCTAGAGGTGCCTCTTACTCTCTCGCTCTCTCTTTCTCTACTCTCTTCACTCGGGGACTATAAATAGAGGCACCTAGCATTGCGCTGACCTCATTCTGTACGTGGCCTTCCCTGTGTGCGCATCTATAGTGATAGTGGAAGTGATAGTGATTGCACGCCGACCCCAAATAATATCAACTGGCCAATGCAATACTTTTGGATAATCAGGAAGAAGCTCACCTCACCAAGAATATAACTCAACTCTGGATGGAACTAAACAATGACAAAGAAGGATGGCCATGTGGCCCCAACTGCGGTAAGTCTTAACCATGACAATTGTATCATATATGTATATAGAAGCTATAAGAAGTATCAGACCTCCGTTTAGTATCAGATATGCATTTATTATCCTTAAATGTTAATTCCCCTATTGCCATGGACCTCATTACTTAATTTTAATTGAAATTATACAACAAGTCGGTATTAAGGATATCTGCAATTGTCTTTTTTTTTAGGCTGTTTGCTTATTTATAAATTATTCACGAATATTGATTGACTTTGGCGCCAACTTTTGCTTTATTTATTATATTTTCAGCCAGAATTAAGCAAAAAAGTAGTCATTACCGACCCGATAAACCATATATATTCTTGATCAGAATCAAAAGCTAAGTTAATCTACCCATATGCTGTAAAAATTTGTTTTTTCGAACTTTATTCAATAATTCATAAGCATATTATTTGTGCTAGTCAACGTTTTTCAAGTATCATAACTTAGCCAAAAATGTGTTAATTTCAATTTGGAAATCGTTATTATGTTAGTTTTTCGTAGGTTAACAAATCTGCATATCAAGTTTTAGGATTTCAAAACTTCAAATTTTTTTTTTTAGAATTTGGCAATTTTAACGATGTAACCCCTTATCTTTGTTTTCGAATTTTGGAAAGTTTTTAAAAATTTTATTTTTTAACCAAACATGTCTAAATCGATTCGACTTTTGATGCGGATGAAGAATATATGAATTAAAGGGTTGGAAATGACTCCTTAGCAGCGTTACAAGCTTCTGAGTAAAACTATAATACCCTGTATTTGCCTTAAATTTTTTGGAAAATATCACTTCTTACTTATTTGCTGTCAAATTTTTAACTTAAAACAGAAAAATGTCACGGTGATTTTAGAAATTATTAATCTAATAAAAGAGTTTTTAAATCGCCATTAATTAAACATAAACTATGATCAAATTAATCCACAAATAAGGTTAACATGTCTGTGAACTCACCTGCAGGGTAGACGCAGGGCGGGACTGAGCTCCGGACATGGACGCCAGGCCAGGGTCCAGTCTGTCAAGTGGGCGAGGCATCCGATCAGGAGTAGGAATAGACGCCCCCCATTTGGCAGCTGTTTCCACGCTACCATTTCGCTGCAATCGAAGAATGGCATTATTATTATTATGGTTGGCTTTCGACCAGATCCGATCCGGTGATCGGTGAAACTCGTTCCGAGAAGAGATATCCGCCGCGTATCGTATTTGGACATTTCCTCTTTGGAGCCCCATTCGCTTAGAACATTTAATTTGCATACCGATGTCGATGTCTCCCTCTATTTTGCTCCAAGCCACATATTTCTGGCCAACAACAATGGCCGAAATGGCCGCCAAGGTCCATATCGACACAACGTCGAAGGCTATAATCTAGCGGATTGACTAACAAAGAACAGCGAGTCTGAGTAATTTTTGGTAATACTGACATACTTGAGACACTCAATGTGGGCTTCTATGGCGATTTTAATACCACCAAGGGTTGACGAGATCTTGAAACCGAAAGTTTAATTGCTAATTACAATTGAAATTGCATTTTTTGTGTGTGTATTTAGCTGTAAAAAATACAATTGGGTTTTTGCATTTTGGCCAGCAAATTAAATGTTGGAGATCATTATTATTTTTAAATCAAGCTTTGGCATTCTTAAAAGCAACAGTAATGTCTGTGTAACTAGAATCTTTAGTAAGAACTAAGTCTTTATATATTTATTTTTTTATATTTAAAATTTCCAAATATGCATTACGGAATATATTTCTATATTTCTTCAATTTGGAACGTGAACTTGAAACTGATATATCAAGGTAACAATTCGTATTCCATGCAGATACAGATACAGAGATTATCAATTATCGGAATTATAGAACTTATATAATAAGTAATATAATATTACTTCATATTCCCTTGATTATTATGATTTAATTTTTAAAGATTAAGTATTGCAAGTTGGATAGTTATGACTTTGGGAAGTTCGACTGTATATATTCAATATAGAAAACGCCTTAGGCGTCTCGTGAACGGTTCGCTGAAGCCGTGATCTCTTCTGGTTCTCCTACTGAAAATCTGGATTCTCGATTCTTGATTCTTGGTCTTGGTTCTCATTCTCGCAGCATTAGCAGTACCGTTGCTCGGGCTGTTGGCCGTGTTCATTGGTTACTGTTTGCCTTTTAATGCGCACTGACACCAAAAGAGAAAAAAAGAAGGAAAAATAAATACAAATACAAATACTTTTACGTCTGGCCGTATTTCTATTTGCATTATTTTTGTTTTCGCGTTATTTGTGCTATTTACTCTGCGGTCCATGGGTAGTCAAGAAAGGTATTTGGCCAGTTTTATGTGAAACTGCGCCCCCTGTTTGCTCATAGATGGCTGAGATACCAGCAAACAGACAAAACAAGCAAGTTAACGTATGTAAATTTATAATGTCCATAAAACGAACGCGCTGGGTTTCAAAATCTCCCCGAAAAAAACACTCTTTTACTTTGATCTTTTACTCATTGAAATGCATATGCGATATGCGATTCGATATCGAAGACAGCTTCAAGGTTGCATTGCCCCATGATTACACACAGAAAAATTAAATGCACTTTAAGGGAGCTATTAACTGGTGACATTTTCTTCCAAATGTGATATGAATTTCACAAGATACAAGCTTTAAGATACGAGTTTAAATATATTTAACTTTAGCTCTTCAACCTTAACCTCTCTAATTTAGATGGTATTTTTGTGTGCAGTGCATGATGGGATTCGATCGGACGGGATGGGATCCACTTCTTGTTTCACAGATACAGCTACAGGTACACGGCTATAGATACAGATACAGATACAGACACTCGCGTTGCGTTGCGTGTAAACGTTTTGATGGGAAATATGTTAATCACACATCTTGGTTTTCCTCTTCTCGTAACCTGTTTCATGACACCCGTATTTTGATTTATACTTTTGGCTTACATTTCTGTGTATTTTTTTGGTGTTTTTTTTTCCCCTCGTTTTGGTTGTAAATTGCACTTATATCTTGTGGCGGCTTGGGAACCTCAGATGGCGCGGTCTTTTGTTTTGTGTCGCTGCGATTGCACAAGTCGAGTTTTGTTTACATTTGTGGCTTTTTGCCCACTTTTCTTTTGTTATACACAAAAGAAAGCTCACAGGCTGGGACCAAGAATGTTTTCCCAGAGGCTATGGAAAATGCTCTTTCCACGCACACAGGCACACACACACACGCGATCGGGCACCTCGGAAAAATGCAGACAAACAAGAAACCTCAGTAATTAAGCCGCAGCAAGTACAAGCACAACACAGTGTCTGCGCATGCGCAGCAGCGGTAACAATTTCGCAGCGAACCGCCGGTTCGAGTCGAGTCAGGGCAGCGCGTTCCACTTCCACTTCCACTTCGAGTTCGACTTCGACTTCCAGTTCCACTTTTACTTCCGCCAAGTCTGCTCCATCCGAGCGTCGCAACACAACTGAAGCTGGCTCCAAGACGTGCCAAGTTGGAGTCGAGCTGCCTAGGCTTTAGGCCACCATCTATCTTTCTCTCTCTCTGGAGTCTAGATCAGACGGGAGTTGCTCTGCAGGTGAAACTGGTTTGCCCAGATGCACTGGAAACAAATTGGAGCACTTGTGATGATCTTTAATCATTGAAGTTAAAAAATATTTAGAGAAATTTAAGGGGGATAAAAGAGTGTTTGTATTTACTTTATACAACTAATTAAATCCCTTTATTTTTTTATATTTGTGAAAGGATTTAATAGTTTCTTCTGGGATTTTAAAAAGGAGAAAAGTACGATTTCACTCCCAAGATTTCTCCCTCTGCATTGATCTAAAAGCCCCGAGCAGGTACTAAAAATGTGAGACCTGACTGAGATGGAGATGCTCTCTTCTCCGGGAGCCCAGCTTCGTGAATGGGTTTACATTGTCCGACTTTGTTTTCTTTTGTTGTTTGACGTTGTCTTTTTTATTATTTTTTGTATTTCTTTTTACTCCGGCTCTGGGTAAAAGTTTCGCTGGTTGTTCTTCGCAGAAAGTTTGGCCGTCTTCTTTTGGCCCTTGTCTACCTGTTTTTTTACTTCTTCGATCTGCGATGCCGATTGGCAAGTGCGCCAATTCAAGCTAATGGGGTTAAGCCTTCAATAATGCCGCAACAAAGTGACAAGCAGCCGGAGTTACTTTCCTTGTCGCAAATTGTTTGGCGTGGCAACTAATTACCCGCACAATTGCCGGAGAAAGAGTGATGAATGACGGTTATGATCACGCACATCTCATTGCCCGTGGGGTTATTCACACCAGACCCCTAGCAGGTACAACTACGAGTATGAACGAGTATAAGTACGAGTGCGAGTACGAGTATGACTGTGACTACCAAGTCCATGTTCAAGTCCGATGCCAAGTCCAAGTCCCAATCAAAGCGCACAAGTATGTGGTTATAATTTTGATGTTTAGGCATGCATGTTAACATTAACATCGCAGTGGGCCGCAATTTCTTTTCTTTCTCGCCAGTCATATACTTTCCATTTTCATGAGCAAGTGCTCCACAAATGGCAGCCAAGATAAAGCACACACATAACATAATCATGAAAATTGAGCCTGAAACAAAGAGTGATACCTACACTTAGAATAAAATCGGAATTAGATTGAGAACTATAAACACAATTTGTAAGGTGTTTAAGAATTGTATATCTTTTATTTGTTAAATATCAGAAAAAGATAAATTACTCAGATTCTTCAAGATATTAATTTATGGAAATTTAGTGGGAATAGCCAAGACATTTAAAAGAAACACGGATAAATGTAGGTATTGGTTTTTTTATTTATACAGTTATTAAGTTGTACAACGTATTCTAAACTCAATTAGTTCCTTATGTTTATACAAATTATATTAAAGATATGTTTCAGTATATTTAAAAGTCTAATTTCATCAATTAAAAAATATTTGAAAAAAATGTATACTTATATTTACAATTTTGCAGTTTTCAATGGCTTTAAAAAATTACTTGTATTTAAGTAGATATAAAACTATTCTTTGAATGGATGCATATGCTGTGACCATATTATTGAATTTCTTATAACCGTTTTTTAAATCATTGTTGTATTAATTTCATTATTATTTTCAATTTAGTTATATTTTAGTTATATTTCATATTTTCTACAAGTGCAACCGCAACAGCCTTGACGTGACGCATGCCATGTCTAACCATATAAATCAAATCGTTCAGCTGATAAATTGTGTCTAAGCTCAACACTTGACTGGCTCCAGGTCCGTCTGCAATCTTGTATATATATATCTATTTTTTATATATATAAATATATATATTTTGTGAAAACGCCGGTCCACACACATCTCACACACCCATCCGCTAAAGTCCCCTAAAGCCTGTGAAAAAAATAAAACTGAAAAACTGCCTCTGGCCCAGTTAGAGACGCGTTCCCGATTGTTGCTTCAATCTGCATAAATGCAAATTATGAAAAATGAATCAGGACATGCCCAAGAAATATCTCTAAAATTTCAAAACCTGCATAACTTTAAAAGTAATGTTTTAGTGTTAATAGAACTTCATTTTAAATTATGTAAAATTACTTAAGGCTTAAAGATTGTAAATACATTTTACTCGTTTCTCAGAGTGCATAATGACTTTCGTCTAAGATAATATTTCGTGTGCAGGATCAAATTTACACTTTAGCCCAACAATTCGCTAATGATATTCATAAAGCTTAATTAACCTGACATAATTGCCGGTATTCCTATCCTTTGGGACCATTTCCTTCCTTCCATTCAAATGCAAATCGAAATAGAAGTACACACACTCCCATCCGATCCGCATTATGATTTCAACAAGTCGTCGTAAGGGAAATGACCTGTCAGACCAATGGCAAACAATGTATACCTATGTACTTTTCAATTCCAATAAAGATTAATGTCTCTGTGTACAGGTCATAAATTATTGTAAGGATCTAAAGGCATACCACACACTCGCTTCACTTGTATTGAATGACCCACTGGGGAGGGTGGATGTCCCGTACCGCTAAGTGGGTGAGCTTTATTGGCGGTGCCGAACCTAATCAATTATAGAGGGAGAGAAAGACCCACAGAATGGAATAGAATGT